ATGTAGCCGTGTCGTTGTTCAGCAGCCTGTCATGCTCTGCTGACCTTGAGACTTACAGTGGACTTGAGTTAATGGCCTGCTGTGTGGTTTGGTAACATTGGGATAGTGCCATTTTATTTGTCAATCTTGGGTGTGTTAGTCTCAGGAGCCATTAGCTGTCTGAGTGAAGAAAGGCCTCTAGCTTCAGTGGGCCAGGAGCAGGAGGCACAGCTGAACCTCAAGGTTGAGGGACTTTCACCCAGCCCCTAGAACCTGGCACTTTGAACTTGGACTTAAAGCCTCCAAATTTGAAGAATAAACTCCTGTTTGTTCAGGCCATCCCATTTGTGGTATATTCTTGTCAGAGTGGTACTAGGTAACCAGAACAGGCACTGTGCTACCAGAGCTGTGGGAAGTCATAAATAGCAAAACTAAGCACAACAACAACAAAAACTCACTGTCATCAAGTCGATTCCGACTCATAGTGACCCCTATTGGGTTTATGAGGCAGTAAATCTTTTTTTTTTTTAATTAGGATTTGGGTGAAGATTTACAGAGTAAATTCACTTTTCATACAGCAGTTCACATATACTTTGTCTCATGTCATTGACCAAAATTTACAATGCAGCAGCTCCCCTCCCACTTCCTCCCCATAGTTACCTCCTCCCAGTGTCCATCCCTTCATACTCTTCTGTACCCTGAGCTATCTCCCTGTGCATAAGCAGCCCTTCCTTCTCCGATGATTGTTCTCTCCAGGGCGTGTGTCTACTTGAGGTAAATGTTTAACTCACATGCTTGTACTTTGGCTGGAAACCACAGTTGTGGGCTCAATTCCAGACCTGAAGGGCAGCTAGGGGCCATAGTCTCAGTGGTTACACCAGGCTCTATTGGACCAGCAAACCTGGTCCCCACCTTCTTTGTTTTTTTTTTTTTTTTGATGAGGCAGTAAATCTTTACAGAAGTAGATTGCTCCCATCTTCCTTCTCCCAAGCAGCTGGTGGGTTTGAACTGCCAGCCTTGTGTTATCAGTCAAATGCCTTAGACAGTACACCACAACTAAGCACAGTATAAAAGAATTTGCTAAGAAAAATGAATTAAAGCTAGACTAAAGAGCCCTCTGACTGGTGCAAATGGTTAATATACTAGTCTGGTAACACAAATTCCACCCAGAGGTGCCTCAAAAGACAGGCCTGCTGATCTATTTGCAAAAAATCAGCCATTGATAACTCTCCTATCCACAGGGACACAGTTCTACTCAACGCACATGGGGTCACCCTGAGTTGGAAACATTCGATTTCCTGAGTATGCTGCTTGTGATTTCTGTAGACAGGAATGGTTCTCCTAGCAAAGTGGTTACCACACAGAAATCTGGCTTCTTTGGTCATCTCAAAATGGTGACTTATCACCAACTTTAAGAACTCAGGATCGCACAGAGTGTGATTTTTACCCCAATGTCTAACAGGTAGGAAATCAATTACCTTGAGTTTCATTGAATTTCATCTTTATTTCTCTCCTTATTCAGGATTTATGGGTGAAGTGTTAACAAGCAGTGAAAAGAATGATAACTAGGGGACTCATAATCTAAGATAGCTAAGAGTTGGGCATGTTGTTATTATGATTCTACTGAACCTTATTTACTTACTCTTTGATTTATAATGAAGCCTTGAAGTTTGTGTGTGTGTATGTGTGTGTGTGTTTATTGTGATTTGGGTCAAAGTTTACAGAGAAAATTCACTTTCCATACACCAGTTCACGTACGCTTTGTCTCATGACATTGACTATAATTCCCACAATGCAACAGCTCCCCTCCCACTTCCTTCCCATAGTTACCTCTTCCCTGTGTCCTTCCCTCCCATGCACTCCTGCCCTCTGAGTTATCTCCCTGTGCATACACAGCCCTTTTATTCTCCCGTGATTGTTCTCTCCAAGGAGTGTATCCACCTAGTGTAAATGTTCAGCTCATATGCCTGTCTTTTGTTTGGCTGTAAGCCACAGGTGTGGGTTCAATTCCAGACCTGAACGGCACCCAGGGGCCATAGTCTCAGTGGTTCCATCAGGCTCTATCAGACCCACAAACCTGGTCCCCCCCCTTTTTTTTTGAAATGATTTTGAGTTTTATTCCACATGATTCTCCCACTCTATCCAGGATCTCCTACATAGATCCCCCTCCGAGTGGTTGACAGTGGTAGCCAGTCACCATCTAGTTCTTTTGGTCTAGTTGTATAGGCAGAGGATTGCATGGTATACCAGTTGCTTGGACTAATTGTTTCCATAAATGGAATGGTTTTCTCCATTCTTCTTTGTGAAGCCCTGAGTTTTGATGGGAGAAAATATGATTTTGATTAAATATAAAATGGGCAATTAAACCTTAAACAGTAGATACTTTGGAGAAAGTTGAGGTATATGAAATTACCCAGTTAATTATTTTTATTTCATTCGTACACATATTTACAAGTCTAAATAAAATATATGAATGTTAAATACTGCATTTTTTAACTTCTTGTTTTGTATCATTAAAACTTTAATTTCTTGGACCTAGTAAAAATAAATTTTCCAAGTAACTGCATTGGAAACTTGTATAGCTAATGTAATCATATCAGGATTTTTTTTAAAATTAATATCTTTATTGCAAATATTTATTGTTATTACGGATTGTGTATATCCTAAAAAAAATAATAATAAGTAGGGTACTTCATATTGGCTTCTGAAATTTACTATATCCTGTCTACAATAAAACAATCATTCTGGGATTATCTTGGAGGGTCACAAAGCAAGAGTGTGGACTGTGACATTGGGTTTCAGTCCTACTTTTAGAGATATAAGATACAAAAGAAATTCTCAATCTGGAGACATTTAAAATGGCTTGCATGATTTTCTTCAGGAAGGAAGTAGGCTGCCAAACTGCAGGACCATGACAGCATCCTTTAAAAGTATAACTATTTACATATTTTGTTAAAATTTTTTGTGTTCCATATTTTATCACTCACTGTAACTAACATCAATGGAATTTCATGGGAAATGGAATGAATTAGTAAGCCTTAACAAAACAGGCATTTCCCTCCTCCCTCAAAAGGTTACAAATGTCCAAATATGAATAACCAAAAGGATGCAGAGTTTCTTTTCATGTCTTATAGATTGATTATTGTCTTAAAAAGCACAAATCCACAGTCAAGCCTCTTTTTCTCCTGCCTGTTATTTCTAAAAATGCAGAAGATGGAAAACAATCTTATGATATACACTAATGAGTCTAAATTATAGGTAAAAAAACAAAACAAAACAAAAATCCAAGTGACACAGGAGACTGGAGATGAGTTTCTAATATTAGTAATTTACAGAATTTTCAGGTGACTTTCATTTTCCATTAGCATTGGTTTGCTGATTCTGTAACATATTAATATTTTATATGGTTAAGAATAGCATTTTAGCTCAAACTTTTCTCCACTACTAACCCAAAGGTTGTTGGCTGGAACCCACCCAGATGGGTGCAGAAGAAAGACCCGGATGGTCTGTTTCAGTAAAGTTTAAAGACAAGAAAATTCTGTGGAACAGTTCTACTCTAACACATGGGGTTGTCATAAAGTCGGAATTGACTTATGGTGATGAGTTTGTTTTTTGTTTCATCCAAGTAAAGATTCATATTTTCACTTTAATAGATCATTTGACTTTTCTTTCAAACCTTATCTAAAAAACAGAAACATGCTCAATGAGATTTACTTACTTGGTTGTTGTTGTGTTGTTGTTATGTGCCGTCGAGTCGGCCCCGACTCATAGCGACCCCTCCTTGGGTTTCCGAGGCAGTATCACTACGGAAGTAGGATTGCCCAACCTTCCTTCCGAGGAGTGGCTAGTGGGTTTGAACCGCCAGCCGTCTGGTTAGCAGGCAAGTGTCTTAGCCACTATGTTACCAGAGCTCCTACTTACTTGGTAGAGAAATTGAAAAAAGTAGAAAACTAAACACATTCTTCGTAGTTTCAGAAGTGACATAAAACCAAAACCAAACCTATTGCCAACCCATTCCCATGGAGTGGATTCTGACGGGGTAGTGACCCTGCAGGAGAGAGAACTGCCTCATAGGGTTTCCGAGGCTATAATCTCTAGGGAAGCAGACTGGCACATCTTTCTCCCGCAAAGCAGCTGGTGGATTTAAACGCTTTCAGTTAGCAGCGGAGTGCTTAACAACCGCATCAGGGCTCGTTGTTGTTAAGTGCCGGCAAGTCGGCCCTGACTCACAGCGACCCCTCCTTGGGTTTCGGAGGCAGTATCACTACGGAAGTAGACTGCCCCATCTTCCTTCTGAGGAGTGGTTTGTGGGTTTGAACCGCCAGCCTTCTGGTTAGCAGTCAAGTGCCTTAGGCACTATGCTACCTGAGATTACATAAACCAAAACACCAAACTCATTGCCGTGCAGTCAGATCCGACTCATAGCGAGTGAGTAGATTGCCCAACCTGCTTTTGGAGGAGTGGCTGGTGGTTACCACCAGCCTTCTGGTTAGCAGTCACATACCTTAGGCAATACGCCACCAGAGCTCCCCTCCATTCCCTACTGCTTAGCAAATACCACTTCCGAGTCCCCAGCGGCCGGGAGTATCATCCATCTTTCTTCCCTTCACCTCTCACCGCCACCCAAAAAAGTATTATTGGCAACCAGAGGCCATGGACACTTTGCGCTATTGCTCCTTCGAAGCCAGCCAAATTCCTCCACAACGCGAGGCGCCCTTCTCACCCCAAGACAGGAGACGTTTCAAGTAGCGGCCGGGGCCTACCGAGCCAAGGGCGGGGAGAGTCTAAGAAGCCCGGGTTCAAACACCTCTGGGAGGAAGGTGGGTAGGAAATCTCCAGCGCTTGGCCGCCCACCAGGTCTCAAGCCCGCTACCCAACCCGCCAGGAGGCGTGGTTCCCCGGACTTCATAGCGGAACTACAATTCCCAGTACCGCAGCCACCCGGACTCCCGGAAGCCGAAGTGGGAAGGGGAGGAAGCCGCTGAGACCCCGCCAACAGGCCGGGGGTTAATTTGGCCAGAAAAAGGGGGCGGGAAGGGCTGTGGGGCACCTGTCAATTCGCCACCATGAACGTGGTTTTTGCTGTGAAACAGTACATTTCTAAAATGATAGAGGACAGTGGACCTGGTATGAAAGTACTTCTCATGGATAAAGAGACGGTGAGTTTGCTTTTCTTTATGAAGCAACAGTCCCTCATTTCGTGTAGCCGATCCCATTCCGCTGTCGGAGTTGGTGTTTAATTAAAAAATTGAAAACGAAAATCAGTTCTGCTTGGGAAATGAAAAGTTGCATAAAGCTTGCTCAGTGGGTTTTTAGTCTAAATGGCTCTAACCATTGCCCACAGATTTCTTGTATCCGGAACAATTTGTTGGAATCAGAAATCCATTTCTAAATGCCTCTATGGAGAAATAGTTGATGTGTGAGGCAGAGAGCACTTGGAAGACTTTGGGAATGGTCCTATTATTCCCAGTCAACGCTGTGTTTTTAAAGTAAAGCCGAGATGACAGGTTATATTTGTTAGTCATAGACTTTAATAAAACAGAACAACTCTTAAAGGTGATGCTAATTATGGATTGTCCATGTTCAGAGAGAGCATGTTTTTCATTCTGGTACATTGCTTACATGCTTTGAACATTCAGTAAATGTTAAAACCTATGTTAGCATTTAAGTTATCCAGCTAAGTATTCATGAAAATACCAAAAAATAAAAAAAAGTATCAGGTATTGCTGTTTGTTTTTATTATTCCGGACTAACATAATCTTAATTAATTCTTATTCTTTACAGACTGGAATAGTGAGTATGGTATACACACAATCAGAGATTCTTCAGAAGGAAGTGTACCTCTTTGAACGCATTGACTCTCAAAATCAAGAGATTATGAAACACCTGAAGGCAATTTGTTTTCTTCGACCTACGAAGGTACTGCACGAACTGAGCAAATCTTCCCAGGCAAACACAGAACACTCTAGTTTGAAAGCATTAAGAAGGCAAAGTAAATTTTATTGTCATCATTCGTGGCATCATAACTATCCTGATTTATCAGAGTTATAATCTTAACTCTTCTCCTTTCCATATCTCAGTTCACTCCTCACAGCTACTTTTTCCTTCAAGATGTCTTTTAGGTTCTTGGCTATTTCCTAAGCCGTTACCATAACAGAGACCACTTTATTCCTAGATAAACATCCATACCTATCACACTTTATACCATTGCCATTTAATCTTACATGCAACTATCAGTGTCTTGAAACTTTATAATTTTCTTCTCATCTATACTCAGGAACCTAAAATGGCTCAATTTATTTCTATGATTAAATCTATATTTAGTAGCCGATAGTCAAAGCCCTCTTTTAGCTGGTCTGGTCTGCCCTTATATAACCAACCTTCTTATGCCCCAACATTACCACTCCACTAGAGCCAACCAGGCCTTTTTACCATCCCTTTACATCCTCATTCTTGACCCTTATTTGTTCTCTTCCCCTAATCTAAAGGTTCTTCAGCTTTCTGTTAGTCTTTGTCCATCACCTTCTAGATCTGTCTTGCATCTCGTCTTTTAAAAAAAATCCTTTCCTATTTCAGTCTTGGGAGCTCTGGTGGCATCATGCCTAAGGCATTTGGCTGCTAACCAGAAGGCTAGCAGTTCAAACCTACCAGCCACTGCTCAGAAGGAAAATGGGGTAATCTACTTTCGTAGTGATACCTCCTCAGAAACCCAAGGAGGTGTCACTGTGAGTCGGATCCGACTCGATGGCATTGAGTTTTACTTAATTTTTTAAATTTCAGTTTCTTTTATGTACCCTCTTGGTTTATATCCATATTCTTCAACTCCAGTGCACTCTTTTACCATATTTGTGCATTATGTGCTTTCTAAAATATGAAATACAAATCATGTCACTCCCATTTAAAATCCTTTAATGATTTTTCATTGTTTTAGGTAAAGACAAAATTCCTTAATTGTTTCCTGCTGTTTGCAAATATTTTACAAACATTGCAGTTGGTCAGAGTCTTGCATTAAGTATACTTAAAAGTCAAAATGAATATACACATTGCTGTTCATAGTGACCCTGTATGACAGAGTGGAACTGCTGTATAGTGTTTCCAAGGCTGTAATCTTTACGGAAGCAGACTGCCACATCTTTCTTCTGCAGAGAAGTTGGTAAATTCACATCACTGACATTTTGGTTAGTAGCTGAGTAGTTTAACCACTGCACCACCAGAGCTCCTTAAAGTGACTATGGTGGTGGTGGTGGTTATGTGCCGTCGAGTTGGACCAGACTCAGCGACCCTCCTTGGGTTTCCGAGGCAGTATCACTACGGAAGTAGATTACCCCATCTTCCCTCTGAGGAGTGGCTGGTGGGTTTTAACCGCCAGCCTTCTGGTTAGCAGTCAAGTGCCTTAGGCACTATGTTACCAGGGTCGCCCAAAGTGACTATAATTAACTATATTTCCTTTGAATGTTGTTTTTAAAAGACTAGAGACATTTTGATACTCTGTATAAAAATTTTGATCAGATGAACTTATGAACAAGCAACTTGGTGGAAATTTGCAGAATTATTTACAATTTTATATTGTATTTCAACATCAGTTTCCTTTATATTTATATCTTAATTTGGCCAAGATTAT